GACGTCCGTTACGGGGTTGTCCAAAAGCCAAAGCATGTCAGGCTACTGATGGCACGGCATTGCCATACTCGGTTTGATGGCAAATATTCCATTCGTTCTCTCGACCGTATATCTCGCCCACTCGTTCCATTAACTACGAAAACTGCAAGACAAAATATCGCCTTTGGGAAAGTTCTTTCGTACCCGATGAATTTTCGCTCAAATCTGATCGGTCTGGTTTTCCGCTGCGATGTCAGCTTGCCCCTTCCACAATTTCAAATCCGTATGCAGTGTTCGGTTGGCCCTATGCCATAGCAACATATCCTCATCAAACCTATCCCTTGTACCTGACTTCCCTGCAACAGTGCAACCAATGAGTCTGCTTAGTTTCAGATTACGCCATATTTTTGAGACACAACTTGCCATGTTCCCTTAAGTCGAATTATCCCATCTCCATTTCCACTTTTGCTTGTTGTGACCCCGGCCATTCCCAAGGCTACGAAGTCTTAGCGTTGATTTTGCATTCAGGTTCAACATGATGGCTGGGTGACGCGAACTCTGTTGCCTCGGCTGACCTATTGTTCTGGTCCCCCATTTATTCCGTCACTTTTTTCTTGCTAGAGAGGGAGTCGTTTTTTGCCCCTCCTCACCTTGTGTTTTGCCCGCCGCCTTCAAATTTTACCGATCCGATCTTGTTTGATATTCTCTCTAATAACGCGTGGAAACTGTGCATTCCTGGATCATGCCTACATTGGATAATCCCCGCCTCTTATGGTGCTATCCCTTTTCCCCAACCCTGTGCCCACAATCCCCGCCAGTCTTGCTTTTATTCTGACCGTAACATTGTGATAATACCCGACGGTATGCCACCCACAAGTTGGGAATAAGCATTATTATCACTAATGAGGTGGATTGCTGGCCCAGCACGCGAATCCACACTGTGCTTCTGAAATTCTTTTTACCACTTATCCGTATTTCCAGTTCACTTCATTATCTCCAGTTACGGTTTTCGTAGGATTAATGATCTGATCTTGTCTCAGCTCGATGTGTGCCTCAAAACTAAGGAAAAGACGTAGTTGCTGTGTTTTCCTGCCCATGCCGGTTTAGGCGTGTTTACATCTACATCGGACAATGTCCACTGTTTGTGAAACTGCTCTTTCTCCGCACAATTCCCAGAATCCGAAAATCCCGCAAATCATCCTTTTATTCTGACCGTAGCATTATGATCATGCCTGGCAGCCACCCACTATTTCGGAATAAACAACAAGTTTATTGTTGTGCATCATCCTCGTTTTGACCAAAACGCGGGAATCTCGTCGAATAAATGACAGATAGAGAGATGGATAAACGGTATATTTATTGTTCCGGTAGTGCGGAAAATTGTACCGGGTGCCAGGAGATACGAACAAGACGTAAGAATAATCGCCAGACCATACCATAGAAATTGTGGCAAGGATACTAAAATCACATTATAGAAGAGGCGGGAGAAAGATCTCTAAAAACCAATAAGCCTAATTGGTTGCACAGTGTATCCGAGGCCAAGCTGTAGAGAAATAAAAACAAGCTAACCACTGAACACTTCCAACAATCGGTTTGACAACGACGATTTACGCGCAAAACCCCGAAGTTCGAATTGCTGAAAGCAAAATTGTTAAATCGTTAGAAAAATAGAGAATAGGACGTCAATTGAAGAAAAAACAGAAAATAAATATAATGCCATATAGCGAAATTTTACAGCCTATGAATCGCGGACTCACGCCAACTTGACTAAACTGGTTTTGAGACTGCCAATGTCATACCGTCTAGAAGCACAGTGGCTAAACAGAAACGAAATTCATGTGGCTGAGTTGAACTAGATGTGCAATGGCGGAGCCAAAGAGTGGTTTCGGTCACGCCAAAGGAAGAAAGGTGGCCTCAGATTTCTCCTGTGACGACGATTAGTGG